GAAGTTTCTGTTGATATTCATAATGTTGGTAATGCGGTTGTTTCCTCTGCTTCTTCAAGAACTCTAATCTTGACTGAATTGTTGCATGTGCCTCACATAACTAAGAATTTGCTTTCGGTCTCTAAGCTTGCTAGGGATAATAAAGTTTACCTTGAATTTCATGCTGAGAAGTGCTTTGTTCGTGATGAATTCTCTAAGGAGATTCTTCAGCAAGGTGAAGAGAAAGGAGGGTTGTATATGTTTTCTCTTAGTGATTTCAGTACAGAAGGTTGTGGTGCTGCAGTTCATCTTGCAACTTCAGATATGACTCAGTCTGAGCTATGGCATCGACGTTTAGGACATCCAGCTAGTTTTGCTTTAAGAAAAATTGCCAAAGAGCTTGATATAAAACTTGATATTGATGTTAATAAAACGTGTGTGGCTTGCTTTATGGGAAAAAGTCATAAACTCTCTTTTTCTTCATCTAATACAGAGTACACTGCACCTTTTGAATTGGTTTTTTCAGACTTGTGAGGACCTCCTCACATTGCTTCCAATGGCTTTCGTTATTATGTAACCTTTGTGGATGCGTTTACCCGATTTACTTGGCTTTATCTACTGAAAGACAAAGCGCAAGCTGTTGATGTGTTTCATCTGTTAAAAAAATTGGTAGTAAATCAATTTGGCAGTAAAATCAAAGTTTTTCAGTCAGATTGGGGTGGAGAGTACCGAGTGTTTCCTGCGTTGCTTGCTAGATCAGGGATAGTGCATCGACTGACTTGTCCTCATACGTCTGAGTAGAACGGAGTCGTTGAGCGTAAGCATCGCCATGTTGTTGAGTTAGGACTTGTTCTGCTAGCTCAAGCATCCTTACCTATGCAGTATTGGTCATATGCATTTGTGACTGCTGTTCATTTGATCAATCGCCTTCCCACGGTGGTGCTTAGAGGAATGACTCCATACGAGAAGCTGTACCAGAAGAAACCAGAGTTTGCTTCACTGAAGGTCTTTGGTTGCCAGTGTTTCCCGCACCTAAGACCCTTTCAGAATCACAAATTGTGCTTTCGATCTCAGTCTTGTACATACCTTGGAGTTAGTCCTCAACACAAGGGCTATCAGTGTCTGGCAAGTAATGGTAGAGTTTATATCTCTAGACATGTTGTATTTAATGAAAAGGTTTTTCCATTTGCAGATAAAACTACTGCATGTCGTCCACATCATGCACAAGCTGCTTGTTCACGTGATATTCCAGTTGTTGCAGATGTGAGGAAGTGGATTAGTGATGCTGTACCAACCATTATTCAAGAGAATGCGCAGAATGTGGTGGGACAAGAGGACATGTCTAATATGCACAGCCATGCTATTACCGGGGCCACACCGCATTCCACTTCAACCGGCTACCGAGACAGTGTGCATGATAATGCGCATGGAGACAATGTGTATTATAATAATAATGGAATCTTTCCGTTTGGAATAATACATGCCCATAATGCGCATGAAAATGCGCATGGGACCAATGGAGCCGTGCCAATTGAAATTATTCAGAATGATGCACATGAGGTTGGGGCCACTTGTGATGCGCATGGTGATAATAATGGTCTTGGAGTGTTGAATGCACATGAAGCTCGTGATAATGCTGCCCTTGGAGAGATGGCCACTTATGATAATGCCGCACATGGTGGGGCCACGCGGCTTGGAGCGTTGTCTCCTTCTTCAACGGGAAATAACCGAGCAAACGGTGTTGGGGCCACATCGAGTGGCGTGCTTGATGCTAGTGGAGTTGAGCCGCTTGGGGCCACTCGTCATACTACAAATGGAGCCACACCGCTTGGAGTTATGTCCACATTGCACTCTAATTCAAAGGGTGACAATGATGTTGGGGTCACACCGCTCGGCACAGTATCCGCCTATGATGACTCCACATTGCATTCGTTGGAAAATAATGGTAATTATAATATTATTGGGGCCACTTATCCTGGTGCAAATGATTTGAATAATGCGAATACCAGTCCTGTGATTGAAGAATTGGACTTGGCTAATAATGTACAGAGTACATCAACTACTCTATCAACTAGAGGGAATCATCATCCAATGAAGACACGTAGTAAATGTGGAGTTTTTAAACCTAAAGCATACTCCACTCATTTTGACAATGATACACCTTCCACAATCCAAGAGGCGTTGCAGTCGACTAATTGGAAGGAGGCAGTTCAGGCTGAGGTAGAGGCTCTTCAAAGAAACGACACGTGGAGGTTGGTGAAATTACCAGAAGGGCCCAATTGGGTGTAAGTGGTTGTTTAAACTGAAACGAAATCCAGATGGCTCCATACATCGCTATAAGGCGCGACTGGTTGCAAAAGGCTACTCACAAGTTCCAGGGTATGATTTCCTTGATACGTTCAGCCCAGTTGTTAAGTTTTCTTCCCTTAATGTTGTGTTGACACTAGCGGTTTCAAATGACTGGGAGTTGAGGCACATTGACATTAATAATGCGTTCCTCAATGGAGACCTCTCTGAGGATGTGTTCATGCAACAACTGCCAGGTTTTGTGCAACTTGCTGAAGATGGATCTGTCCTCGTCTGCAAGCTTCAAAAGGCGTTATATGGATTGCGTCAGGCACCTAGGAACTGGCATGCCAAGCTCCGGGATAGCCTCGTGCATATTGGATTTACAGCATCTCGAGCAGATTCGTCGTTGTTTGTCTGTAAACGAGGTACTGGTGACATATATGTATTGGTTTATGTTGATGACATAGTCATCACTGGACACTCATATTGTGAGATTCAAGAAGTAGTGAGGCTGCTTAGTGAAAAAATTTCTCTCAAGGACCTTGGTGCACTTCGTTTTTTTCTTGGGGATTGAAGTGCATCGCTCTCGTGGCTCTCTATTTTTGAATCAGAATTTTTTTTTGTTGGAACTGCTTGAGAAAACTAGTATGGCAGGTGCAACTGCATGTTCCACACCGATGATACTAGCATCAAAATTGTCAAAAGATGCTGGGGAGCTGCTGTCAAATGAAAGTGAGTATCGCAGCATAGTTGGCTCATTGCTCTATCTGTGCCATACACGTCCGGATTTAGCCTACAGTGTTGGTAAGGTGGCACAATTCATGCATGCACCACGTGAACCACATTGGCTTGCATTCAAGCGTATACTTCGATACTTGGTTGGAACTGTGAATTATGGGTTGATGTTCCAAGCAAGTGAGGCAGAATTATCTGTGTCAGCTTTTGCAGATGCAGATTGGGGAGCAAACATTGATGATCTACGGTCAATTTCCGGTTATGGTGTGTTCGTTGAGAAATGTCTTGTTACGTGGTGCTCAAAGAAACAAAAAACGGTGTCTCGGTCCACGATGGAGGCAGAATACAAGTGTCTTGCTGATGCTGCTGCTGAAGTTACATGGACAAGTTCTTTGCTTGCAGACCTAGGGATTCAACAACGGAGGGAGCCGGTGATATGGTGTGACAACACCGGAGCAGTGGCTATGAGCGCTAATCCCGTGTATCATGCACAGGCGAAGCATATAGATCTTGACATTCACTTTGTCCGAGAGAAGGTAGCTGCAGGACTGCTGAAGATCAACTACATACCAGCTGCACATCAAATAGCAGATGGTTTTACAAAACCTCTCTCAAAGTCAGCTTTTGAGGAGTTTCGTCACAGTATATGTGTGATGCCAGGGGTGTAGAGTCGATTAAGGGAAGAAATGAAAAGAGTAGGGAGAATGTTAGACTATAGCATAATGTGTACATGCATGTATTATAGCATGGCTTTGGCAATCAGTTAGTTTAGGCGCCAAATATTGTTAGTCGGTTAAGTGGTTGATAGCTTGACTCTAGCTATAAAGCTAGTATGATTGTAAATGCAACATACGTGAATTCAATACATTTCTTTCATATACAATTTCTTAATAGACGTGTTCCTCGCGAGTAGAAGGGGTCTTGGTCGCCATTGTGGGAATTTGGAGCCAGTGCAAGGGAAAGTTACCTTTCTTTCTTCTTTTTGAAAATTTGTACGTGAGATTCGTAGGGGGTGGGAGAAATTAGGGGTCGAGGATTGCGTAGGGGAGGAAAAGGTGGGATGAAATGTGAACCGTTAGAGTTTGGAGGCAAAAACAACTAATATGTTCAGCTCAAACCCAGGCTTCATTGTTGGGTAACCATTTTTTTATTTTATCAAATTAATATTCAACTGTAGTTTTTTTTATAAGTAGTGCGTTTTTTAATTAGAGGAATTAATAGATAATATTTTATTTAATATTATAATTAAAATTTTATTTTATTATTTTTATATAATTATTAAAAATTAAAAATAAATTTTTAATATATATATTTATACATAGAAATTAATAATTTGTTTTCTAAAATTATAAAAATGTTTTTAAAATTTTAATTTTGGGAAAATATTTTATAAATAATAAAATTTTTATTTTCTTTTATAATTTGGTTCTTATATATTTTATTTGTTCGATGTTTTTCATTTTAAAATTATTTTTTATTAAAAATGAATTACATTATCTTCAACCACTTTGAAATACATGACAAAAAATAAAGAGTTATATTATACCTAACCAAGCCCAAAAAAAGTATATATTTAAGATTATAATAGTAATTCAATTTTATAAGCCTTAATAAATAATAATTTTAAAAAAAGTGTTATTTTTTAAATTGTAAATAATTAAATTATTTTTAAGGGGAAAATATTGAAACATTTCATATTCCAAATCAATTAAATGCCACATATTTCATCGATAACGGACACTTATTTTTATTAATAAATAATTGTACAAATAAACTGAATTAAACCCTGAGTTGGATTGTTCTTATTTTTATCGATGACAACTGTAAGTCGGGAGTTCCTTCATGTCGGACCATAGACAAAACTCATATTATTCAAATGTAAGTATCGAAGCTGAATTTAAGAGTGAAATAAGGTGGACAATGAAGAACACAAATAAACTCATCAAGATTGTACAATGTTGAACGTTTCTTTCGGCGGGGGTAACTGTTCTTCCCTTTTAGGTTTTTGGGCTTTCAGATGTAATGGCACCGCCTTCTGTTTCTGTGGTGGTTTTCCGTTCAGTCTCTGAATCTGCAACCAAAATTAGTAACTAAAAATGTTCGATAATAACAATTTAAAGCTAAGATGTTTCAATTCTTTTCAAGTACTTGTGTGCAACTCCATTATCCAACCTATATTCGTATACGAGTGAAAAGATACGATCTTCTAAATAAATAAAAGTCTTTGAAAATTTTAAACATATCAATATTATATGATCCATTTTCTATAAAAAGGATGATAAATCTGGGGATCTCCACGTTTGCATATATATGTATATAAAAGCAATGACAGTGGTTATCGTGGATCAAACATTTGGGCCAATGGCAATAACTCTATAAAAACCACACATCTCGGTCACATGTTCGAGCTTATTCTTATTTATGTTACTTGAACTCTGATGTAGATGTCTTATATGAGTATGTATCCGACAGTGGTTATCGTGGTTGCGAATGTAACAAATACTAACGTGATGAATTGCAGTAAGTTTTTGTGAGAAGAAGGAAATTTTACCTGTGGGAGAAGGAAAGGGATGGGTAGTGAGATGAAAGGGAGGATAAGTGGGGGAGGAACCCTCCATGGGAGGAGGGTAGTAAAGGTAGGAAGATCCAAGGAAACGTTGAGCCTGTGGTGCAGAAAATGTTCCCCTCGGGGCTTGCAGAGAATACCCATAATAATATGGGGACCCCATTGATGATGACGGTCCATACAGCTGATGATAGTATTGTGGCTGCTGAATTTGTGGATTATAGAGCGTCTGCAATGTCACCGTTCATTAACAATATGGCTTAACATTGAAGAAAAAAGAAACATAGAAATGCCTTTTTTCCCCTGAGAAAACTGATAGAGAAAGATGTTCAATCACTTACTCGGTGATACCCATATTCACCACTGTAAGTCGGGTACCTGTCAAGGCATTCATCAAAGACTCCAATCATACATACATACATATATGCCTCATACATACAAATGACCGAATGTGTTTGACGTAAGTGAAAAATACTGTAAAGCCAATGTAGAGGAGCTGGTTCATTCTTGTATTGGATCTTTAATTAAATTGGTCCTTACACATCAAGGAAATGACAACTGTAAATGAGCTGGAACATTATTTCAAGTTCTCTTGTCAGATGAAGACATTGATCCATAATTTAATCACTATAACCTCTGTATAAACTCACATCAGTTGGGGACCATTTTGATAATACAAATTTGAGCACTATAAAAGCATAGCACTACTTTCTCTTCATCTTTCAGGATTTCCTAAATTGATTAACTCTCTGTATTCTCGTTTACCATTTAAGAATTGAACTAGATTATAAAAATGGCTTAATAGACATTATTAATATGCAGAAGGAAAAAAGATGAACTAATTCGTTTGAGTGAAAACAATAATCGAGAACTCACCCATATGGTGGATAAAAGACATTAGGCGGCGGCGGCGGCGGCTGCTGCACTGGTGCTGCGACTCCACTATAAGATGGTGCACCTTGCTGTACAACACCCTGGTAAGGGTTAGTACCTCGAAATCTTCCTGCATATTTATCAATCCAACATTTCCAATTCATTATCGTCGTCATCTAGTCACTCGAATTCGATTGTGAATGTATACAACGTCCGTATTCGAGTATGTTGCCGGAGCGATATATATAGATTTAGGGACTACCTCGTGGCGGTGAAAGTCTAGGCCTTCCGAGTGACGCAATGTTACAATTCGCTCTTCTTCCATCGATTACAGGGTTTGGATCAACGCATGCCTTCCTAGCTGATTCAGGATCACGAAAAGTGACCTACGAAAAAACATCCATCCTATTCACATACGTACATATGCATATTTGGAAGATATAAAAGAAAACGTACAAAGCCATATCCTTTAGATTTTCCGGTGTATTTATCGGTGATGATAACAGCTTCAAGAATCTCTCCAAACTGTTGAAAATAACAGCGCATTTCCTCAGTTGGCGTCTCCCAAGCCAATCCCCCAACAAACACTTTCGTCAACGTTGTGTCACCGAATGGTGATCGATAAAATGGATAAGCCATTGCATCTAAACAAACAAAACAACAAACAAAACACACTTTCTTCTTCGGATTATGTTTTACAGTCGACGAGATCCAAGTGAGTTGAATCTTCTGCGACTCCACTCCATGATCATCATCATCCCCTTTGCTCTCTGCTTCACAATACTCTTCTTTTCATACATTTCCAAAGGCACCCCAATCCAATTTTATTACAACGAAAGAGACATCTGGAAATGGTATGAGTATGAGAGAAATCTGAGTTTAAAGATATTACGGGAAGTTAGTTGATTGTTGTTGTTATTACAAAAGGGAGTGAGAGAAAGAGGAGAGACCAGACAGCTGCTAACGTTAATTTGCTGTCTATATGAGATATTGAGAGATGGGAAGAAGGGAAAGGGGTTGGGGTCGTAAAATAAGAATGACAGCTCCGTCACTTATCACTGTCTTTGAAATTTAATTTTAAAATTCTTGTTATAATATATGAGTAATTTAAATCGATATTGATTAAAGTATTTTCAGATAATATTATTAGTAAGAACAACTGTGATTTCTGGTCCATATTTCCTTGGGACAATGTAAGAAACAGACTTGCACGCACTGGCAGAGCCTCCAGTAATCAAAATAATAATCATTGAATTTGGAAGCACCTCTTATAAGTACCACATAGAATTTGATAAAAGAAATTTACAGAATCGTCTTTCGAGTAGGCCCTGAAATTGAGCTTCGACTTAAAATAATGGGTTAGGAGTCGTCACCGATAATTTATTTTAAAAAAATAGGTTGATCGGATACCTAATGTCTTACCTGATCTGCGTCTTACCAAAAATGTGTCGGATTCGGGAGTCGGTTACAGCCAAGGAAGGGTTAGCACCCTTGAACTGCCCTTTCGGTACTTCGTAGTTTTCAGTTGTCTTTAATTAAGAAAGTTATAAATTTAAATTAAAAGGTGAAATATCGATCCAAATTACTTACCTCTAATAGTTTTGGAAGCGTACCCTTAGAAAATCAAGAGGAACGTTATAAAAACAAAGGTGGTGAAGATAAATTGAAAATAGAGAAAGTGAAATAAAGAAGATAATAAAAAAATAAAAAAATAAATGAATAATAAATAAAGACAAAAAGTAGACAACACAATTAACATGTAGATAGTGAAAATGAAAGGAATAAAAAAATAAAGATAAAATAGAATAAGATAAATAAAAAATAAAAAAAATAACAATAAAATGAATAAACAAAACGAAAAGAAAAGTAAAAAAAGAAATAAAATATACATGTACATATTAGCTTGTAAACTAAAAAACATTAGGAAATAAATATTAATATATATATATATATATATATATATATATATATGTATATGTATATAATAATATAAATAAAATAAATAAATAATCAAATAATAATAATACGTGTACATACATAAAAATAAAATATAAGAACAAAACTAAAATAAAAAATATAAAGGAATAATATAAACTATATAAATATTATAACGTAACATTAAAACATAAAAATAGGAAAGTAGAATTAAAATTAGAAAAAGGACTAAATTGTAAAAAAGGAAAATTGAGTGACAAAATAAAAGAAAATCAGGTTCAAAAATTGATTTCAGGATCGAAATGGAAGTTTTAAAAGTTGGAGAGTCCAAGAGCGCAATTTACCCTCTTTATTTCAGAAACATGCGTGTCATACCATTGGGTCGGGTCGACACGCGGGTCGTAATAGGGTCATCGGGTCTTACATTTAACTCAAAAATCTGTTTTAATTTCTCATTCCTTTCTTCTTCTCACGAAAGCACCCCCTTTAAAACTTTCTCTTATTACTGAAGAACACAAGCCTGGTTTTCCAGAAACCGGCGGTTGCATCGCCTCGCCGCCGTTGATCATCGGCGGTAAAAAAATTTATTTATTTTTAAATCCCAAAAGCTTTTCCACCCCTCTTTTCAAAAAATAAAAACCTTTTTTTAAAAAAAAAACGTACGCCTCGGGGCTAGATCTGGGTTCGAAATTTCGAAACCCCCTCATTTGGTCATAGGCTTTTCGAAGTGAAAAGGGAGAAAAGAAAGAAAGCAAGTCACATGCAAGCGAGAATCGAAGCAATACAAGTAAAAAACAAAAATACCTCTTTTATTTCTCTTTCGAAATGTTCTACAAGTGTTCGAACCCTCTTTGTGTTTGCTATTGTGCTTATGTGTGTGTTTGCCTCGTGGTAATCTCCTCCTAATATTCATGTTCGTGAGTGTTCTAGTTACATGGGATTTATAGCCTAGGATTTTAGAGTTTGATTCTTATTAGAACTCTAACTCTGTTATTTGTTGGTGATATCCCTTGCGCCGGAGATCTCGGGGCTGTTGGAGATGAGTCGTACGACCGGGAAACTCGGAGAGGAAGGCGAGGGAAAGTCTCCTTGGCTGCTACGGCGCTAGCTGGAATGAGTGATAGGGTTAGGGTTACAAAACCCTAATTGATTTGGATTGAGGTTGGAATGGCTTGGGTGCTCCTACTGGGCCAAATGTAATTTTGGGCCTGATATAGAAATGAGACAAATGTAAAATGTATTAGTTTAATAAAATAATGATAATATTTATACTATATATAATATATAATATATAAATATATGTTTATTTTGGTCATAAAAAGTATGTCTACAACTGTCTCTCTTTGCCCATAGTCGTGTAACAGGGATAGGGCAAAGATTAAAAGACACCGTTTCGTTCACATCGAATATCCTCTGTCGTAGAGTTGAAATCTGATGTTTGACCAGTTTGAACTATGAAATGACTCTCTCGTTGTGAGGTCGAGTGAAGTTGAAATCTAATATAAGTTGCGTTGTTTTGAGGCCAATATCCTTCACTGTGAAGTTGAAATTGACTCTGAAATTGGAAAGTGTATTGACAGGCACTCATTCTTTGAGTTAGACATCCTTCGTCGTGAAGTTGAAATCCAATCTAGAGATGGATGCTGCTTATGTGCACGATTCCCTTCGTCGTGAAGTTGAAACCGCGGGTGGCCCCTTCGTCGTGAAGTTGAGCATGGTAATTGGATATCCTTTGTCGTGAAGTTGAAATCCAAGTAAGTTGTATTGTTCCGAGTCCAACATCCTCCGCCGTGAAGTTGAAATTGGCTATGGAACTGGGAAATTGTTTGTTGACAGCCAGCCGCCCCTTTGCTGTGAAGTTGAGCTTGTGATGTCTCGAGTCTAATATCTTTCGCTGTGAAGTTGAAATTGACTCTGAATGAAACTGAAAAAGTTGTTTGTTGACAATCAGTCGCCCCTCCGTTGTGAAGTTGAGCTTGTTTTGTCTTGAGTCTAATATTCTTCGTTGTGAAGTTGAAATTGGCTCTGAAATTGGGAAACCCCTTCGTCGTGAAGTTGAACCTCAAATGGCACGATATCCTCCGTCGTGGAGTTGAAATTGCGGATGTGTAGGTATGACATCCTCCGTCGTGGAGTTAAAATCGCAGATGGCTCATTCGTCGTGAAGTTGAAATCAAAGTATTGTATGTTGCGGGTGGACACGATTCCCTTTGTCATGAAGTTGAAACCGTGGATGACCCATTTGTTGCAAAGTTTGGCTTCGAGTCAGATATCATTCGTCGTGAAGTTGAAATCTATTCTCGAGCAAATTGTATCATTTTGAGTCCAATATCGTTCGCTACGAAGTTGAAAATTGGCTCTAGATAAAACCTGCAAAGATATGCATATATGTGATGTTATGGGTGCAATGCTCTTAGGTATGCCTATATGCAACATATGTTATTCTGGGCTTTGGAGAGAAATCTCGATCTCTTGTTTCTTGTCGTGCTGACTCTTGATTTTGGAATCTGGAAGTTCTTATTCCCGATCTTGAATTCTTCTAATGTGTAAATATGATGTTCTTTGTTTCTTGATTTGGGAAATGATTTCTCGACCATATCAAGTATGTGTCTGAGACTTGATCGGCTTCCAGGGTACCTGTACTTTTCAATGAATCTTTGTACAGTAATATGCGATTATCTTTTGCACAAGTAAATAAATCATTAAGTTTAAATTCAGTTCAAGATGCTCAAAAGGAATTGATTTAGAGAAAAGATTGTCTTTATTCATAAGGGGAAAAAGAACAAATAATACATGACAAACATTTTGGAAAATAAATATATGATGAAATGTGAATGAATGTCTCAGATCTCGATAATGTGGGCACTTCTAAGTTGAAAATCCGTTATGTGACCTTGAATGCAGCATTTGCCAAGGGATCTTCGAAAATACGACAACGTTTTGGAGAGTGCAAACTTTCTCCGACTCGTTGAGTTCGTAAAAGATTCAGATGCCGGGATGTTTCCACTGTCTGGATTTCTTGAATTATCCAAATCACCCTTTCAAGTTTTCAATTTGGACCCATCCTTGGTTGTAAGACGCCATTTGCGGGTTTTCATCTTGAACCCACATTTTCTTTTTCTTTTTTCTCTTTTTACTTTTTTTTAATTTAGGGCGCCCTTTCGAATTTTCACTCTAAACGTTTTTTCTCTTTTTTGTTCTTTTTCTTTTTTGTTTTTTCTTTCTTCGACTTAGAAAGTCATTTCGGGTTTTCATCCTAAGTGAAGTATTTCTTGACTGCATCTGAATTGATGGGATGCGGCAGTTCAGGTCCGTCTATTTCAGCCAGGACAAGGGCTCCCCCAGCAAAGGCATTTTTCACGACATAAGGTCCTTCCTAATTTGGCGTCCATTTTCCTCTAAAATCTTTCTGGACTGGTGAAATTCTCTTTAGCAACAGATCTCATTCACGAAATATTCTCGGGCGCACCTTTTTTTCATGTGCTCGGATCATCCGTTTATGATAGATTTGACAATGGTGAATGGCTTTCAGTATCTTTTCATCTATCAGATTAAGTTGATCATATCTGGATTGCGCCCATTATGCATCATCAAGTTTGACTTCTGTCAAGACCCGTAGTGACGGAATCTCTACTTCAATGGGCAGAATTGCTTTCATTCCATAAGCTAGTGAAAATGAAGTTCCCCCAGTCGAGATTCGTACCGAGGTTCGGTAAGCGAACAAAGCAAAAGGCAACTTTTCATGCCAGTTTTTGTAAGTTTCAGTTGTTTTCTCCACTATCTTCTTAATGTTTTTGTTTGTTGCTTCTACTACTCCGTTCATCTTTGGTA